TAATAATTGCCGCGCGATCGGCATGTGCTCCGCTCGTCTCCCAGGGAGTGACAATACAACGAGAACATCGCGAATCGGTTTACTATACTTCCCAGTGGTCCGTCTTCGAGAGCCGGCACTCCGGCCGGCCGAGCCGGGTCTTCGCCCATCATTCACAGCTCGCAGTCGCAGTCCGTGTCCAGGTCTGTGGATCGTCCTCCCCACGCCAGCGCTGTGTATTCAAGCTGTTCCGGGCTATCAGAGCCCGAGTCTCGCTTCGGGACCACACCGGGATCGTCATGGCCTAGGCCGGTATGGCCAGGGCTCGCCGTTTCCGCTGGTCCTGATCCGAACCTCGCTGGCGGAACGCTCCAGGAGTCGCCATGAGCCAGACCAGCCAGAACGGCTCCATCGTTCCTGCGCGGCCCCAGCCTGGTGCGGCACGCTCTTCCTGTTTCCTCGCGCTTGCCCCCGGCTAGAAAATGTGAGTAATTGGAAACATACTCTGCATGCTAGATAACAGTATGCACGTTACAATGGCTGTACTGTGATATGCAAGCCTGGTGTGAAAAGATGACAGGCAACAAAGTGCACATGTGAGAAGGATATTTACGCTTCACTTGAGCTTTTTCTAAAAAAAAAAACTTACGCATCCTGTTTTCGGCATGTCGTCACATTTGTAACCTGATTCAGCATTAAATTTGGTTGCCGAAACAAACAAAGCTTTATGTGCTACGAAAATTTACTATTTGAGAACTCGCAGGTTTGGAAGATTTTGGTTACGACCGAGCGTGTGCCGAACGGCTATGTGCAAATACAACTACGACTGCCGGGACGGGCCTCTCGCTTCTTGAAGGCCTGATCACCTGATTCTGGACGTCACAGCGAAGCAACAATCGGCCCAATTGTTCCTATTGTATTTCCCTATGTGGTGTCTAGTGACTCGTAGAACAACTTGTATAAAATTGTTATTTTGCTGAGTAGTCTGCAAAACGAGTTCGTCAGACCACTTTCCAAGCCAGCACATCTATTTTCGTTCACTTTAACAGCAACAATTACTGTAGAAATTACTTACCTGATGCGTCGCACTGCAGTTATCCATTTCTATTACCATGTCACTTCCAAAGATCTCGAGGGGAAGTGGTGTAGTTTGACGCTTGAGTCGCCTTCGTGACTGTGACAGTCTTTCACGCAGCAGTAGCGACATTTATTTCTTGGGGGAGCCGTATAGGGGTTCCCCCAAAAAAATGACCCCAGCGGGTTCCTGTGGCATCTCGCCTACTCCTATAGGAGTAGGCAAGATGCCACAGGAACCCGCTGGGTTCATGGAGACGTGAAGCCGGGACTTACTTTTAAGAAGAACGGTTCCCAAAAAGGCTGACGCCGATGCAAAGTGCCACATTCACACTTGGTTTCTGAATGCACCTGCCTGCAGTCCCCGCGATCTGGGCTGTCCTGGCCTTCCCAGTGTTTTATTTTGCAGCCGCTAGATGGCGCAACACGTAGTGCAAAATTGCATTGCCGGTTAATATTTGGGCCACTTAAAGTGTGGGGAGTGGCTGGAGTGGAACTTAGGTATTCGTATTATCGAGATTCTGCCAAGTTTGCCTGCCCCCCCCCCCCCCCCCCTCGCACAGACACAAACAGTGTCGTTGCCCAAGACGCCTCTGACTGTACGTTGCAAATCTTAATTTGTTTTTGATCTACATAAAAGCAGATATTGATTTACTTACAGGATGACAGTGCTGGTGGGCCCAAATCTAATTATGTATTTGCAATCTAAACTGCTGATAATGTAGTTGCAGGTAGTGACAATCTCAATGTAGTGAAGCAAGTCAATTGATTGTTCAGGAGAGGCTCTGCCCAGTACTGTTTTTCACACGCTTCAGTCCCCTCTACCGTTGAGAAAATAGTGTTTCACCCTCTTTGCACGCTGGAGCAGAGGGATCAAAAGTCGCTTTTTTAGGAGCAAGACAACATTGTCATACCACTATAGCCAGACTTTTAACTCAACAAATGGTTGATGACAGCACAGGAAGACTTCTTTCGTGACTTCTTTATGCAGCGTAGCACGATACAGTCATTGTTTACCTGACAGGCGAGTAGTTGCAATGAGAGTTGGTAAGGCTGCCAGTATCCCACATGAATAAATACTATCTTAATGGTGTGATTTGAAAAGGTAGTGCTCATTTATTTAGTACATAAAGCAGGCTGACTGTGGCAATAGCATAAGCAACAATACCACCTTAATGGTAGTGACCACAGCCCTTGTGTCACGTTACTAAAAGTACCACAAGAAAGAGCTGACATTACCTCTACAGGTTTGCATCGTCATAAAACAAGTTAAAGCGATTTGCTAATGGTCTGAAAATCCTAAAACAAGTGAAAGCGATTTACTGGTGGAGTGAAATTACGAAACATTTTGAGGGCATGCATTGCTGAAATCTCACCCTATTAGCAACTGCAGCGTACATTTTGTTTGGGCATATGCATGTTTCCTGCTATTACTACAACAAAGAAATGGGGTTCAATGTTTTGACTAACATAGCTCCTGAGCATAGGGCTAGATTGACGTTGTGAAGGAATATTGTGCTTTATTTATACTGCATTACGTCATTTTGAATATGTTGTGTGGCTATCTTTTTCTTTATTACAGCTACAGTATGTCCTAAGCGTATAAACAAATCAAGACCTCGATGTTACTCGTCTCTCTAACCTTTAATTTGCTCTCTTAGGTGCTGCAGTGGCTGCTCTACCTGGTGAGGCCGTGGCCTCCTCTGAGTCACCTCTCTTTGCTGTCCGGGATGGTGAGGTATGTATCTGGGCCTAAAAGACATTTTGTTTATTGTTTTCACTTCATTGACTTATTCTGGAGAACAGACTAATGGCAGAAAAAACAAGCACACAAACAGGCAGGCACACAAAAAGGCAAACACAGGTACTGACTTACAGGTGCACTAAAAATGTTTTTTTTTCAGATCGTCTCTTCTTAGTGATAACTCATTCGACAGGCTCTGAGCATCCTAAATATCCGAAAATTATGCTCCTTCCATTCCTATCTTCCTACTAAAAATAGAAAAAAAATAGAAATAAGAGAACATACTTAAGTGTTGCCATAGGACGAGAAGGTGAACTATCTTCGAAAAAGTGTACATGCGGATGACAGTGACATCAGTGCTATCTGATAGCCGTGTCCCACAAATTAAGTAAGCTAGTCCGCTTCACTAGTATAGACTAGCAAAGAAGACAGAGGATGAATAGATGGTAAGGGCTTACCCTTTGTAACGGGCAGCAGCATGTGCCACCTAGCCTTACATTTCGTCATCCCTTTTTTTTAAATTGTATAAATGTTTTTATAACACAACCCCACCCCCCTTTTTTAAAGTGATCACATTGCTTATTTATATCAGTTTTTTTATCCTTCCCAAGTTCTTTTCCACTAATCTTCCAATCTCGTCTTAGTTACCGCAATTCTTTCTCTATGCATTTGTCTATCCATGTCCAGAAAACCCAGCGCCCCCTCCAATTCCGTAGTTATCCCCTCAAGAGGGTGGGACGAAGCCCCATGCACCTTAAAATTACATGTTCTATAGTTTCCTTTTCGCGGTTACATACATCGCACTTCCTGGAATTTAGCCCTTTACGTTCTCGTTCGTAGAACCCCCGTTCTAACTTCAAACAACAAAGAGCTCCCCACTGAATTATCATACAGCTGTTCCCTCTTTATTTTTTGTTTTTATGCCCTGAATATTGTTAAAGCTGATTTTCCCTGCATTCTCTCTTCCCACAATTTCCTCTCTGTTTCCTTTACTCCCTTTTCTTCTGATATGCTCTGATCGGCTCCATCTCGTTGAAGGTACTTAAATATCAAGTTGCGGGTTCGGTTTGTCCACTTAGTGTTTAGACTTTTCATATATAGCTACTTGTACACTTTCACTGCCCACCGTGTCTCCTCAATTTCAGCTAGTCTTTGTTCAAATTTTACTTTACTTATCGCCCCTCTACTCTCGAAAGATGCCCAACACATGTCCCCCTGTACTCCCTCATTTGGTGTATTCCCATGTCCCCCAATGCCAGCCTACCCACACTCCTTTGCTGTATCTCTAAACCTGCCTGGATTTCTGACCTCATACACAATACCGCATTCCCAAATCACAGTCCTGTCACCATGACTCCCTTCCTTACACCCCTAATGACTTCATATCTATTATAGTTCCATAGTGCCCTGTGTTTCATGAAAGCAGAATCTCGTTTCCCCTTCTTTATTACAATATCTTCATGGTCTTTTAGATACCGTCTTCCTTCACTTAACCATATTCCTAGATATTTGTACTTTTCTACGTGTTCTATTAATGTGTCCTCTATCTCGAGGGGTTCCGCATTCTCGACTTTATAACCGACGGCGATTATACCCGACTTTTCCCTCCTAAATTGTAGTCTTAAATTGTCCCCTTTTCTGCTGCAAATCCTAATGAGTTCCTGTATTGTCTCACGACTTTCTGATACTAGTACAATGTCGTCTGATACATTAACCTTGGCAATATTTGATTTACTTTATGTCCTTCCTCCATGTAAGTCAGATCGAAACCTAGATTGCACTGTTCTAACTTCTTTCCATCTCACTGAGGTATATCATAAAGAGCAGGGGAGACAATGGGCAAACCTGTCTGAGACATCTTTTTATTGCTGCTGGTCTTGTAATTTCGGCTTCCCATGTTATAACCACCCCTATTCTCCGTATAAACCCATTCTAGAAACTTAACCATGGTTCTCTCTAGCCCATATCCCTTCAATTGGTTCCAGAGTGTTTCCTGATTCACATTGTCATATGCCCCTTTGATGTTTAAAAATGATACCCATAATGGCCTTTTACTTCTCATTGCTATCTCTAGGCACTGAGTGATTATGAATAAATTTTCATCCAGTCGTCTACCTTTCCTGAAACCATTTTGAAGCTCCCCCAGATTATGTTTTCTCTCTGCCCATTCTTCCATTCTTCTTTTTACAGTTTGCATAGCTAGTCTGGGCTCGGTGGCTGTGCCACAACACGGTCCATTAACCCGCTGTCCTACACCATGCAGGTCCTTACCTCGTTCATCACCCTCGTCATGGTTCCAGCCTTTCTGAATGATACCTGGATTATCGCCACGGAAAGTACGCCCCTTCGCCACGCGCACGGCTCGAGAGATTGGCAGTCATCAACAGCAAACGCGCCGCTAAACCTTGTGGCGCTGTCATCTGATCCGTGGATCCCAAGTTCATCGTGGGAAGCACCATCGTCATCGACGTCAACAGATGCGCCAGTCATAAAAGAACAACATCCGGCGACTGCACTCTGTGGGCTCGGTGGCTGTGCCACAACACGGTCCATTAACCCGCTGTCCTACACCATGCAGGTCCTTACCTCGTTCATCACCCTCGTCATGGTTCCAGCCTTCCTGAATGATACCTGGATTATCGCCACGGAAAGTACGCCCCTTCGCCACGCGCACGGCTCGAGAGATTGGCAGTCATCAACAGCAAACGCGCCGCTAAACCTTGTGGCGCTGTCATCTGATCCGTGGATCCCAAGTTCATCGTGGGAAGCACCATCGTCATCGACGTCAACAGATGCGCCAGTCATAATAGAACAACATCCGGCGACTGCACTCTGTGGGCTCGGTGGCTGTGCCACAACACGGTCCATTAACCCGCTGTCCTACACCATGCAGGTTGGTCTGTCATACGTTAGCTCGTCTAAGAAATCGAGCAACTATCTTTTAGTACAGCTGCCGAGCCTGCAGTGTTGCATTGCCGTTGCTAGAGAATGTGCTCAAGTCATCCGCCGCTTACTGATGTTGTCTGGAGATGTAGAGACTAATCCGGGTCCTGTTACCTCAAGTGAAATCCTAAGCGAATTGCAGAAGCTGTTTGCAGGTCAAACTAAACTCATCGAGGAGGTAAAGGGCCTAAAAAGTCAGCTGCAGATAACCGATAGGACCATATCGGACCTAGGCAGGCGGATGACTGACCTGGAGGGTCATTACCAAGGCCTTTCCACGCTACGTGCTGAGGTGGAGGCCACGGTGACCAGGGCCGCCCACGCGGCTCGTCAGGTCTCTGACCTTGAGGCCCGTGTGGACGACACTGAAAATCGATCCCGACGAAAGAATCTAATATTTTATGGTGTGCCCGATCCCTCACCTACAGAGACTTTTGCCCAGTCCGAACAAAGAATCATTCGCCTTTGCTCTGAACTTTTTGATGTAACATTAGACTCGAAAGAAATAGAACGTGCCCACCGCCTCGGGCGTCATTCGGTCGAGCGTCCACGACCAATAATAGTGAACTTCTCCTTTTTCAAAACTAAAGAAGCCATCCTTTCGAATGGCCGTAAACTGAAAGGTACTAACTTCAGCATGGGCCAAGATTTTTCCCGCTCAGTTCGCAACGCACGGAAGCACCTCCTTGCCTTTGCTAGAAGCAAATCTGCTCCCTTTTCTTTGCGCTACAAAACACTGCTCATCGGCGCAAAACGTTACGTTTTCGATGAATCATGCCAATCAGTCAAAGAAATCTCATAGCAATCGCACCGTCAACAGAAAATTACAACACGCCCCCAACGTGCCCCTCGAACTAATCTTTCTTTTTCGGTGATCTTTACTAACATACGCAGCTTTCTTCCGAAGCGCGAACTCGTATCTGGCGTTGTATTATCTTCTGAATGCAATGTACTTGTGCTCACTGAAACTTGGCTAACCAGTGATGTTACTGACTCCGAAGTTTTAGCGTACCTGCCAAATTTCCGTCTCTTTCGTAATGATCGCAAAGGTACTCGCGGGGGAGGTGTTCTCATTGCCGTAAACCATAAATACCATGCACTACTATTAACACTTCATCCGATCTGGAAATACTCTGGCTCATCTGTCATGCCGCTCCTGAAACAGTGCTGTTGGGTGTCTGTTACAGGCCGCCGCATAATAGTCCCGATTTTCCGGGGCAGCTTAACGATATGCTGTGCCACCTCAATGCAAAACATCCCAATGCTCACATACTTCTTTTTGGCGATTTTAATTACCATATGTCGATTGGGCTAACCTGGCGCCTACAACAACGAGCAACGCAGAAACGAGAGAATTTATCGATGTTTGCCTCAATTTTAACCTGTCCCAAATATTAACTGAGCCAACACGTGTCACGCAAGAGACTGCAAGTCTCTTGGACCTAATATTAACCAACCGTCCTGACAGTATGTCGTCAATTACTTACCTACGGGAAATTAGTGACCATAAGGTCATTCACGCTGATTTTATGTTTTCGCCGACGTTGCCCCCTTCTCAAAATAAAACAATTCGCCTCTACAACAAAGGAAATTATGAAGCGATAAATAACCATTTAACCAATTTTTTTACTGACTTTGAGGCTGCTTATCAAAGTCGATCCATCCATGAAAATTGGGTACTACTCAAGAACAAGTTTAACGAATTAATAAATACATTTATTCCTAAAATCAGTTTTTATGTTAGCCGACAGAAGCCATGGTTCACTAAAACCCTTAAGAGGCTGGAAAATAAAAAAAAGCGTCTTTTTCGCTCTGCGAAGTCAAAACCAAACCCATGCGCGTGGGAAAGGTACTACGAGGCCGAAGAAACCTATTTAAACGCGATCATTGAAGCCAAGCGCTCATTTTTCCTTATTGACTTACCAAACATGTTAATCAATAACCCAAGAAAGTTCTGGCAGGTCATAAACCCTCAGCAGACTCCCGGTTTAACTCTTGCCGATGAATCGGGGATAGCGATAGTGAGTGCGCTAACATGTTTAATATCGCGTTCTCATCAGTGTTTACTCAAGAGCCCGACGCACCACTCCCACCCGTAATCGTAACTATTGAATCGGAAATGCACCCCATCTCATTTTCCACTGCCGGTATTTCGTCTATTATTGATAACATCAAGTTGTCATCATCAGCGGGCGTCGACGAAATCACCTCGAAATTTTTGAAGAATTGTAACCATGTATGTTCATCATTTTTCTCACTTATGTTCTCGCAGTCACTTTTCACAGGCGGCATTCCAGATGACTGGAAGGCGGGGAAGGTCGTTCCCGTTTTCAAATCAGGCAACAAGGACTCTCCATTAAATTATCGACCCATTTCCTTAACAAGCGTACCCTGCAAAATCATGGAACACGTCATTTATACCCACGTTATGAACTTCCTGGACTCTAACGAATTCTTTCACTCTTCTCAGCACGGGTTTCGCAGGAACTTCTCCTGCGAAACTCAACTAGCTCTCTTTCTCCACGACTTACATACCTATCTCGACTCTAACTGCCAAACTGACGCTATCTTCCTGGACTTTGCAAAAGCCTTCGACAAAGTACCTCATAGACGCTTGCTACTAAAACTTTCTCGGCTAGGATTAGACCCTGACGTCTTGAAATGGATACAGGAATTTTTGACTAATCGCTCTCAGTCCGTCCTCGTTAATAACCAGTCCTCCAACTGCCTACCAGTATCATCAGGTGTTCCCCAGGGCTCCGTCTTGGGCCCACTGCTATTCCTCATATATATTAACGATTTACCCTTACACGTTACTTGCCAAATCCGTATGTTTGCCGATGACTGCGTTATTTACCAACCAGTTACTTACATTTCTGACCAAATCAATCTACAGGAAAACCTCAACCGCATCCAGGAATGGTGCGACCACTGGCGCATGTCACTTAATCCTAATAAATGCAAACTCATGTCCTTTCATCGCTGAACCAACCCTTTCCTTTTCCCCTATTCAATTGCTAACACTCCCGTCGAACTAGTACAGTCCTATAAATATCTTGGTGTCACCTTAGGTAGCGACCTATCATGGCGCGCACATGTCACTAACATTATCTCATCAGCAAATAAAAGTTTAGGATTTCTAAAACGCCATCTACGTACCGCTCCTCAAAGCATAAAACAGCTAGCATACAAATCACTCGTAAGGTCAAAGCTGGAATACGCATCCCCCATCTGGAGCCCGCACCAAGCCTATCTCAGTTATGCACTCGAACAGGTTCAGAACCGCGCCACCAGATTCATCCACTCATCTTACTCGTACAAAGTTAGTATCTCATCCTTAAAAGCTGAATCGGGCCTTTTAGACCTCTCCTCTCGTCGCCAAACTGCTAGCTTGTCTATTTCACAAGTTTTTCTATTCTCCGCTCCATCACGCGCCCTACATTGTACCCCACGCCCGCATCTCTCTCCGAACAGGTCACCCATTGCAGGTCACCCGTCACCGCACTCGAACTGCCACTTTTTTTCAATTCCTTCTTCCCCCGTACTGCAACAGACTGGAACGGCCTTCCCGGCGAAGTTGCTACGATCACCTGACCATTAAGGTTTGCTGAAGCTGTGTCAACCATCAATCCAACGTAACAACGTATTGTTCAAGTTATTGTTTTTTTATATTCTCCCACCCCTTATGTAATACCCCTCCCGAAGGGGTCTTTAAGGAAATAAAGTGAAGTGAAGTGAAGTATATTTCTGAAGTTACTGTGATTGGTCGGTATGATTTGGCACTGTCTTTTTCTCCCTTGCCCTTATATAATAATCTCATCCTGCTCAATTTCCAGTCACTGGGTACCTCCCTCCCATAAGTATCCGGTCAATCACCTGCCTTAGTTTCAATTTGCTTGTTTTGCCTAGAACTTTTATCAATCTCATTGGTATGCCGTCTGGCCCTGTTTCAGTGCCAGCCAGAACCTTTCCTTCTGTTTTTTTTTCCCATTCCTCTGTGGTCCTTTCCTCTTCTTCACTATGATCCTCCGCGTGTGTTGTGTAGGCGCTACCATTTCTTACGACCTGATTTGATTCTAACTCCGAAAATACTGCTTCGATTGTATGTCTAATGTATTCTCCTGCCTCATCCCCTTCTACCTTTGTCCCTTTCTGTGTTGTTAGTGCCTGCTGGTACCCCTCGGTCATTTTTCCCTGTGCGCTGATATGTTTCCAGAATCTTTTTGCCGCATTCCTATCCTTTTTTCTTATCTCTATCATCCACTGGACCCCTGCTCTCCCAATTTCGGCCTGTATTAATGCTGATGCCTCCCGCTTTCTTTCCTGAAATTCCTCCCATTTTGTTGCTACTTCGGCTAGTGTGGCCCCCTTTTTCTTTGCCCATCTGTGTTCTTTAGATGCCGCTTGGTGTCTCGATATTGCTGCCTTAACCTCTTTATCCCACCAGCCTTTTAGGCTTGCGTTTTAGTTTTCTTCCTCCTTGTTTGATTCAATATTTCTCTAACTCTCTTTTGAAAACACTTAGTCTTCATACGTCTATTCTCTTTCCGGTTACTTGGATACAATGTTCTCGATCCGCTTAGATGCCTCCTGTAATTGTTTAACATTTAAGTTATTCCTACCCTCTTGTTTTGGATTTTGCATTTCTGGTTTTATTGTGCCAAATCTGATCTTGATTCTCTTATGGTCGCTCCCCAGACCTTAGACCTACATACCTCCTAGTCTGTTGTATATCTTACGTGACATTAAACAGTAGTCAATAGTCGAGTTCGAGTTCTTTCTTTCCGATGCTATTTTTCCATTACATTTCACCTGAGCGTTAACCAATGCCAGATCAAGACCTTTGCGGAACGCCTCTAACATCCTCCCTGTTGTATCTGTATGTCCATCAAAGTCTTCCAAATATGCATTCACGTCCCCCAAGATAATTAGGGGTATTTCCATGCTAGTGCCAATTTCCCTAACGTCTCGTGATATAGATGTCAAGTGTTCTGCATTTTCCTCCCCTGTATCACTCCATGTTTTTAGATACACAAAACCCAGGATTCTGTCTAAACCCCCAATATTGCCTTTGACCCAGATGTGTTCCCTGCAGCCCTCTCGTTCCCTTTCCCATTCCTGAACCTTAACTAACACCCCTGATCCCCCTCCCTTGCGTTCCCCATTGGCCCGGTTGCATCCCATTCATTGGTATCCCGGTGTGTATGGTGTTTCTTCCATATGCCTGAGATGTGTTTCTGCTAATCCATACATTGCAAAGTTGTCGCTTTCTAATCGCTCTTCAATCTCCTCCCACTTTATTCTGTTCCTGCCCTCCTGCATGTTTGTGAAAGTTGTTTCTTTTCCTAGTCCTGCAAGGCTTCCTCTCACCCTCGCAAATCCTCCCCCCTGTATCTCCATTTTGGCCCTCATTTACACCGGCGCCCTCAGGGCTCCGGAGCTCCGCAAGAAATGTATGATGTACTTCCAATCCTATCGCCTACCGTGCTCCCAGTGGTTCCACTGTAGTGGATGCCCATTGTAAAAGGGTCCGAGCGAGCCTCGTACACCACCCTGTTTACTTCCATTACTCCATACTCAAATCGTCGGCTCAACCCCCTTATCACCCGGTTAGCTTCCACCACCAACTTCTCTATCTGCAAAAACTCCCCAGACCTCTGGAACGGTGCATATTTGCACATGCACAGTCTGAGAGACCTCCCTTAGCTTACGAAACCCCAACTCTATGTGCCTTTCTAGGTTCTGGCTCAGTCCCTTTAACACATCATTTAGTCATGCGTGTACAAACACTTGATTCTCTTCTTCCCTGTTTTTCCACAACTCCACCTTCGCTTTGGCCATAGTGTCTACCATGCACTTTCCTGACTGAGCCATACGGTTACCGTCCCATCCCCTTTCACCCTGTCCGGCAGCCCCTCCTTAACCCTTGTTATGTTTGAGTCTTCTACCACCAGCCCCCTCTTAACCCCCGACTGCCTGTCTTCACCCCCTCCAGGTTTCTGTGCTTTATCTGCCTCAACTTCTGCTGCCTTTCTCAAGCTCTGTTGTACTGCAGTACTACACAGCTGTGCAGGCTCCTTTCCTACACAGTCATCCACCTCGTCACTTTTTACCTGGCCCCCTTTGTCTGCCACCCCCACCGCCGTCTTCTCTGCCACATCACCCTTTTTCTTATTAACTAATCCTCTCAGTTGCTGCACCATCTCCTCACACTTCTTCTTATGCTCCTCCAACTCCGCCTTCCACTCTTCCCCCTGTCTAAGCTCCTCTGCCTGTCGCTCAAGCTTGGCTCTCTGTTCCCCTTTTCGTCTCAGCTCTCC